TCAACAAGATAGGATAAGCCTTATATGAAACCGGGCCTTGTTAGTATTTAACATTACTTGAAAGTAATATCAGCAAACAATTCCTTGCCTAATAATTAAAAGACACGAACACAAATGAGTGTCGTTCTTCAGAAGTATGATGTAATGCTTTGAAATTAGTGAATTTCCAATTTTAACACCCATATTTCATTGACATTGTCATGTCCTACAATATCCAATAGTTGATATATAGTCACATGGGAGTTATTAGTGTTTTCAATTTCAGAAAGAGTAGCATCAATATTATTATTGTGCAGAATATCTTGTTTACTGACTGAATAAGTAGAATAATAGAGTGACTGATTTATTTTGTTACATTCTATCTTTAGAATCACTGGTATCAGATAATTTTGGTAGCACTTATCTACCTTAGTGAACAAGAAATTCACCTGTTCGAGATTTTTAACTGATGGTATAGTGAGTTTCTAGTATGAATATTGATTTTTTTTATCTTGCTGGTCTAACAACCTATATATTTCAGACATAAGCTTATAAAGAGAAATGTTAGAATTAAGAAGCAACCTTTTAAGACACGTATTTGTTGATTCAACTCGAGATATAGAAATCATTCTCCTAGTAAATTTAAAAAATGTATATGAATAGGCCTAATACTCCTTTAACTGATATAAATTCTCCAAATAGCACTTGCCTTTTGAGTAGTCTTCTAAGAGCTTCTCAAAACACTTATGAAATGTTTCCTTAACAAGACTATTCCTACATTGATAAAAGTTACTAAAAAAATTTTTATACTGATCGCCTAATGGTTTCCTAAGGTTCTTATGAATTTTTTATGTTATATGAAATACACAATGTATTGGGTAAGTATTTAGAAATACTTCTTTTATCATGGCATCAACTGCCAGATTAGAATCAGTTAAAATAACAGTCAGATATATATTGGTAGCCTCAACTATATGTCTAAACATCCAAACATAAGAAGATTGAGTCTCATCTGAAAGTAAACCCTGTGCAAGTATAATATTTTGCCTGTTCTGATCAAACCCTATAAAAAACGACAAAGCTATCTCATAGTGATTTGTCTTATGTGTAATATCATTAAAAACACAATCACTGAATTTGATCCAGTTTTTCACTTGCTCAGGTGTCATCTATGTTAAATAGGTAAGTGCATTATCATCATCCCATCTCTTGCTATAATCTACCTAGGATCCTTTTCTTTTTGTGAATCTAACCAATTCGATATTTAAGTAGCATTATTCAAAAGAGATTTAGCTATAGGGCGAAACTTTCTAATTGCAGCATATAAGTCCTTGCTATATATTAGATGAGTGGGGTATTTGCCTTGTAAATATTTTATTTGCGCTGTTGTCCCCATATTACAATACTGTATTAAAAATTTAATATCTTCTATTATTTCTAAGCTGAATTTTTTATCAAGTTTGAATGCAATAGCATCAATGTTGAGGTCATATTCATCGCTGATCTTATTAATAATAATGGTAGAGTTTGGATTCTTTATTTTAGAGCAAAAAGTATTTATATACTACGGGCACAAAATTTTTTTAGTGCTTGTTTCTTTTTTAGTATTAGACTTATAACTACGTCTATGTTCACAAATATATGTTCTTCTCCTGATAACGCTCCCTTCTCGGTAGATGCAATCTTTAATGATATTAAAACCTCTTTTTCTTCCCCATTTATTTATAAAGGAATTACAAATTTCCCAGTTTATTAGCACCTTTCTTGTAAACAAGCTTTCAACCTCACTTTCAACATTTGTTAGTACAGTATCCTCTGCTTCGCAACTTTCTAAATCACTTGGTTCACTCATTTTTTAGGTAAAAGCGCAATTTATTCAACTTACCTTACTAATACTTATATTATGGGTTGATTAGTAAAGAAACGTCATATGTATTTCATAGGCTGATTATTTTAGTGATCAAATACCTAGGTTAAAATATCATTAGTAGTACTGTAGTTATTAAATTGATGCAGGACTATACCAAACAAATAGTAAATATATTACATGAATATGAGGTAGTATTACATCACATAGGTGATAAATTATTAAATCCTAATAAAATTTTGAAAATTTCTAGATTTTCAAAATTTTATTAATAAATTCTATTTTTATACTCTAAGTAATTTAATTTTACAAAAAATCTATATTAAAAAAATATATTATTATTTTATATTATTAATTTTCAAGAAAAGATACAGAATTTTAGAATTTTGATAACAAAAATCTAAAAATTAGTATCATTTTCTTATTATTTATAAAATATAAAGTTTAATATACTTATATAATTAAATAAATAATTTTTTTTAAATTAAATAAATAAAATTTTCTTTAAATAATTTATTTTATTTATTACTATATATATTAATATAAATAATTTATTTTATTTTAGTTTTTATTATTATATATATTAATATAAATAATTTATTTTATT